TCACAACGATTAAGTTAGTGTTGAGCTTACTGTCAGTTACCATGGGTTAGGAGCTCACGAGGTTGTATTTAAACTGGGGTGCGTTGTTAATTTGGAAAAATGAGTCCGTTTTTTATATATCGTCAAATCATAGTTAATAGAGGAGATGGTTTGGAAACTCGTTAGCATTACAATAAAATCACAATAAACCTCATTATCTACGTTGTTCAGGTTTATGCAAAAATGCGGTGTTTCATCGTCACGTGCGTATTGTATTTTTCTCAAGTCAACCAATAGGAATGTTCAAAATGTCCTATTGTCAAAGTCATGGATGGACAATTGGACAAAACCGTTGCTATTGGCTGGTTGAGCAAAAATACAATACGCACGTGACGATGAAAGACCACATTTTTGCATAAACCTCAACAAAAACATAGATAGTGAGGTTTATTGTAATGATCATGAGTTTCCAAACCATCTCCTCTATTAACTATGGTCAAATTAAGGAGCAAGTCAGCACTTATACTATTGATAATTATACTAGTTTATACATTGTGCACGTATGTGTGGAAACATGATAAAATTAGATCATTGTTCTTTCGCAGGAGAAACGAAATTAATAAATACTGAAAAAGTGTGAAATCAGTTAATTAAACGAGTTCTTGTAACTGAATTCTTTCACCGACTGGTATAATTTCAGGAAATATAAATAAACTAAAGTCATTCTGAAAAAAGAGTGGATGTTTACAATACAATCAGTTGTGTATTGTAATGATGCGCAAATCTTTCGGAATAAAATGAAGTTCCTGTAAAGTCTACTATTTAGGCACCGATACAGAAATTATGGGGAAGTCAGCCGTTTGTCAACTTCCATTTTACAGTAGGTTACATGCGCGATTTTTTCTCGCGCCGGCCACGCAAAAGATCAAATTTCATTGTGTTGCTGGCGCGAGAGAAGAAATCTCACGTGTTTCATGGCTGCGCGGAAACGTAATTGTAACTTGATACATTTGGCAATCGTTGCTGAAGTTAAATCCATTTAACGTTCGGCAACAATTGCCGAAAATATCAAATTTCAACAATGTTGAAGTTTATTTGAGTAATTTATTTCCGACTCAAAAACAGCTGCGAAACTTCTTTACCTTTCCTGTTCCATTGTATCTTGTTGAGTACTTTTGCAATTCATTTTCGGTCTATTCTTTCGTGCACGTGTTTCCTAATAAATATGGGATTAAATGGCACTGTATAATTGCTCTTACATTGTTTTACCAAGGAACCGTAGACAAACAGAAAATAATTGAGAAATCAAGATAGTGCATTATTATATTTCCCACGTGTTATATGTTTAAATATATATATACTCGTATGCACAAATCGCTCGCCTTGCTAACAAAAACTGAAGCACAAACTTGGCTGTGCTCGTCTCATTCACGATTTTCCCGGTTTCTGAATAATGTCTTTCACT